AGACTGCATGGGACACAGGACAATCGCCACTGCAGACAAACTCAAATTCCAAATTAATAGAGCAGGCCAGGTGGGTGGCTCACTCCTGTAATCCCAGCACTTTGGGAGGCTAAGGTGAATGAATCATGAAGTCAGGAGTTCGAGATCAGCCTGACCAACGTGGTGAAACCCCGTCTCTATTAAAAATACAAAAAAATTAGCTGGGCATGCTGGTGTGCACCTGTAATTCCAGCTACTGGGAGTCTGAGACAGGAGAATTGCTTGAACCCAGGAGGCAAAGGTTGCAGTGAGCCGAGATGGCACCACTGCACTCCAGCCAGGTGACAGAGTGAGACTCCATCTCAAAAAAAAAAAAAGAAAGAACGATCTGAGGAAATCGATGTCAGTGGATACAGAGAAGGCGAGGGGGAGAACGAAGGTTGTTTGTGATACTGCCTAACTCAGTGACCTGTGTGGCCCATTGGTGCAAGGCCAAGATAAGGCATGTGGATTTCTTCTTGGGGCAGTGGGGAGCCAGAGAAGGTTTTGGAGCAGGGCAGGTCCATGTAAGATGTGTGTGTCAGGATATTTATTCTGAGATCAAGCGTGGGAAGGGTGGCAGAGGAAGCTGAAGGCTACTCAGGGGGGCTGGGGTTTGCGGGGTCATGAGGAAGTACCAGGATGGGGATGGGGGCATGGAGGAGAGTGGGGACAGGAAGAGCCAGCTCAGACTGAATCCAGACAGTGCCTCTGCTTTAGGGCGAGGCACTTTCTCCCCAACATCTTTGGCCAGCCTGGTGACTGCCTCCTGCTTCAGCAGACTTGGATTCTGAATGCAGAGTCAGACAGCTCCTGTGCCTTTTCTCCAAGCCCTCCACCCACACTGTTCAAGAGGTGGCCCCAAAACCTCATTCACCCTGAGGCCTGAGAGGCCAGCACAGTTTAATCCTGAGTAGAGGGATCACGGAGGAGGTGGGAAGTCTGAGTGTGGTGACCTCTCAGGCGCCGATGGGGCCGTGTGTCCTCAGCACTCTCCCTTGGCTTGGCCAACCTGAGCTGTCCCTTGGATGGTAGAGCCTGGCCCCACCCCACCCATGCCTCCTGAGCATCCTCCCTGCCCACAGGATGTGGAGGATGGCACTCCAAATAACAGGTCAGCCATCTAAAAATAATCATGGTTCAGCCCAGGCCAAGACAAGGGCCGAGTGCAGGGTCCAAGGTTACAGAGTGGGGGCTCAGTGCTCCCCAAGCTCAGCCCTGTCTCTCCAGCTCCAGAATGGCCTTTTGGGGTCACACAGGTCAGGCATGCCAGGAGGATGGCTCTCCTCACCATGGATGGGGGTCCGGGGCTGCCCACCAGGACGGTGAATCCCCATGGGGGTTCTGAGCTCTGGGCTGCTGTGAGAGGTGGCCAGCACCTGAGGCAACCCGTCCACCCCCTTTGGCTTTCTGATGGCCTCTTGCCTGAACATTCAGGGGAGGGAGTGAGGCCCCGGCCCGAGACCTCGAGGTGGGTGGGTAGTTTTTGAGTCCTCCCTCCCTGCTGCCCCAGCCCTGCCCACCGGGCCCTGGCTGCCTGCCCTGTCTCTCCATTGTCCCAAACTTGCGGGCTCAGCACACGTGAGACATTCTTCACAGGATGTTCTCCTGTGGAACTACTGGGAAACCCACCCCTTTCAGAACCAGGGGTGTGGCTGCCAGTCTGCCGAGAAAGTTCTCCTCAAACAAAGACCACGGGATTGTGGGGTGGTGGACAGGGGAAGCTTCTAGCTTGGAGGCCCAGCTAGATTGGTCTTTATTTTCCACAGAGCTGCCTGCTGGCCTCTGTGTTCGCATCGGACAAGGTTCACATGGCTGGGCCATTGCCCATCCTGTCGCTTCTGCCAGGAACATTCTCTCTGCTCCCTCCCCATGCCTACCCTGATTGTGTTCAGGACCCTTCAAGGCTTGTGACCTCCCAGAGGGCCACGAGGGACCTTTCCTCCTGTCTACCCCAAGCAGAGGGGAGGGCAGCAATGATGGACCCCACCTCCCCCCAACCCTGGACTGCCTTGTTCCAAAGGAAGGCACTGGGGGACAGGCAGCAGTGTGGAGTGTCCCGTCCTCACGTGTTGTCATCTAGGGCCTCCTCCACCTCTTGGGGCCTCAGTGACCCCAGCTGTAAGATGGGCATGGAAATGGGGAGCTAAGGGCACGTAGGTGTTTGGCCAAGTTGATCAGGCTGGGGCTGGTGCGTGGGGACAGAGTGTGCCTGCCTCTGCCAGGAGTCCACCTGCCATCTTGGAAGCTTCTTCCCATCTGAGTGAGCAGCCAGAAACCAGGGAGGGGTGAAAGATCCAGGAGGGGCCTGCACTTCCTGCTCCAGGGTCTGGCCAAGGTCTGGGCCACGTTCCTCTGATGCCTCTTCACCCACCTGGCGGGGGGCTTTTCCAAGTGGCATTGGGGGTGGTGGTTCTCCCATCACCTTCTAAACACCAGATACTGTCCTGTTCTTCAGAGTACAGTCCTCCCTCCACGGCCTCCCTTCTCGTTGCCTCCTCTTCAGCCTTCTCACACCGTGGCCTGACCTTTCTCCTTGCTGTCCTCAATGTGCCCTGAGCTTTCTCTGACCTTGGGAACATACCTTCCCGCTTCCCAGCATTAGGGGGTCTCCTTGCACACCCACTATGTACGCACACTCCCTGGCCTGCTCTTTCTTGCATAAGAGAGGAGCAGTCACTGCCTTAGCCAAGTGCAAGGGGCTGTGCCCGGGCCCTCTCACCCCACCTTCCCCTCTCTTTTCCTCCTTCCTTCCTCTCTCCCTCTTTCTCTTCTCTCAGATCCCATCTCGCCAGGGTCTCAGGCCCACGCAAAAGCAGCCGGGCCCATGCACACATTCAGCCGGGCAGTCAGAGGCCAACGGGCTGCCTTGTCTGCCACTCCCAGCCTTTGTCTGGCCATCTGGCCATCAGCTGTGGGACTGCCTTCCTGGGGGAGATATGGAGATGAGGGCTGCCTTGCTGTGTGACCTAGGGTCTACCCTGTCTTGCTCTGCCCCTCTTCATTCCACCTGGGACCTCCAAGGCCCCTCCCATCACTGGCAGTGGACTCCTGTTGAGTCTTTTAAACAAAGCCAGGTCATGGTGTGTTCTCAGCATCCCCTCATGTCTTCCTTTGTCATCCATGAACCTCACAGTCATCACTGGGGACTCTGAGGCCCCACCCTGGCCTATCTTCTGTCCTCCAACATGCTGAGTGGACTTCTGCCCCAGGGCCTGGGCGCCTGCTGTTCTTGCCCCAAGAATTGCACGATTTGTTTTCTTACCTCCTCCAGGTCCTGGCTGAAATATCTCCTCCTCTGACCCCTCTCCTTAAAATTGTGGTGGCCAGGTGTGGTGGTTCATGCCTGTAATCCCAGCACTTTGGGAGGCTGAGGCAGGCAGATCAATTGAGGTCAGGAGTTTGAGACCAGCCTGGTCAACATGGTGAAACCCCGTCTCTACTAAAAAGACAAAAATTAGCCAGGCATGGTGGCGTGCAAGTGAGCCTGGTGGCCACAGTCAAAAATAAGGACTGGGCTGGGCACAGTGGCTCATGTCTGTCACCCTAGCACTCCAGCCTGTGGCAAGGTTCAATTGCTTGAACCCAGGAGTCGGAGGTTGTGGTAAGGTGAGATTGTGCCACTGCGCTCCAGCCTGGGAGACAGAGCAAGACTCTGTCTCAAAAAAAAACTTGATGGTGGTGGTGGTGGTGAATGACAGGAGGGTAGGATGGGGGGGTGGATGATAGTGTTTTCAGCCATCAGGAAAGGCCCTGAGATGCTGGGAGCAAGGGCAGCTGTGTGATTCGGCATGTGTGAAATGGAGTTCCAGGTCCAGTTCTGCCCTGATTTGCTGGGTGACCTTGTGTAGATCCCTTCCACTCTCTGAACTTCTTTCCCAAGTAGAATAATAAGTGCAGTGTGGTAAAGTATAAGGAGCACAGGCCCTGGAATCAGACAGATGGGGTCACATCCCCACTGGGATTTTTATTGCCTGGGGGCTACTGGGAAAGCCACTTTCCCTCTGCGTCTGTCTCCGCATCTTTGAGGTGGGAGGGGCTGGAAAGGCACATGATGAGATACAGCCAGGTGCAGTGACTCACAACTGTAATCCTCACACTTTGGGAGGCCAAAGCAGGTGGATCTGAGGCCAGGAGTTCTAGACCAGCCTGGACAACATGGCCAAACCCCATCTCTACTAAAATGCAAAGATTGGCCAAGTAATGCCAGCTATTCAGGTGGCCGAGGCATGAGAATCACTTGAACCCAGGAGGTGGATGTTGCAGTGAGCTGAGATTGTGCCACTGCACTCCAGCCTGGGTGACAGAGTAAGACCCTGTCTCAAACAATAAACAGAAGAAAATTTTAAAAAGACACGTGAGATATGACATGCTGAGACCCCAGCACAGTGTCTTGCATGTAGAAAGTGTTCAATAAATAGGTCTTTACTCCTTTAGAAAGTACCCAAGCCTGGGCGTGGTGGCTCACGCCTGTAATCCCAGCACTTTGGGAGGCTGTGGTAGGTGGATCATGAGGTCAGGAGTTTAAGACCAGCCTGGCCAACCCCATCTCTACTAAAAATACAAAAATTAGCTGGGCATGGTGGCACAAGTCTGTAATTCCAGCTACTGGGGAGGCTGAGGCAGAAGAATTGCTGGAACCCAGGAAGCAGAGGTTGTAGTGAACCAAGATTGCGCCATTGCACTCCAGCCTGGGTGACAGAGCAAGACTCTCAAAAAAAGTACCCAAAGGCTCACCTAAAACTGGGAAAACTGGACATGTATTGGAAGGGATGGTGCCATGGAATTGCCTTACCTCGTAAGGCTGGTCTTGCCATCCTGGGGTGCAGGTGAGGCTGAGGTCCCCTCTCTCTGAGCTGCTTCCTCAGTCACTTTGCCCCACAGGCAGTTGACCTCAAGTGGGTGTGAAGTGGGCCAGTGTACTGGGGCATGGGCCCAGGCCACCCCTCAAGCTCTCCTTTCCCTGCACAGTGGTCATCTGCAGCTTCATGGTGGTAGCCCCCATTTTCAGCTACCTGAGCAATCGCTTCAACAGGAAGGTTCAGCTGTGGCATTTTCTTCTGGTCTGCAGTCACCTTCTCCAACTCCTTCATTCCCCAGCAGGTGAGGCCCACCCTAGCTTCTCCCCCACCCATGCATCCCGGGCCCTCAAGTGTGTCATGAGTCTCACTGGCCTGTGCTCATCCAGCCCGGGGCTTCCAGCTTCTTTGGTTGAACCCCAGCATCTTCTCAGTGCAGAGGGACAAGGTGGTCTTCAGGCACTTTCACAAACCAGCCCTGCAGCTGGGGCCTATTCCATACTGGCCTGACTGGAGAGACCTGTAGCCTTAATGGCCTGACTCCTTTTGAGTGGCCCTCTGACTTGGGATGGATGCCAAGAACAAGTCTGGCCTAGGAGTGAGGGCCCTGGGTTCTAGTACTTGCTCGGCTGTTACCTGGCTATGTGATTCTGGGGGAGTCACTACCCCTCTCTGGTTCTTGCTCAGTTTGTGCTTGATCTGATGACCATCTAACTTCTTGGGTCATCCATCAATTCAACACAAGGAAGCATCCTCTCATTTAGCTCTCCCAGGCCTCAGCTTGACTATCCCAACTTGGTGGTTTACTTAGCTTTGTGACCTGGAGATACTTACGCTTAATCACTCTGAGCCTCAGTTTTCTCATCGATAAAATGGGGATGATGCTTCCCAACTCGAAGGTTTCCTGTAAGAAGTAGCCGAGCTGTGAAGGGCCAGACCCTGGAACACACCCTGTGTTCATCCAGTCCCTGTTTCTGCTCTTTCTTCTGAAGATGAGCCTGTTGCCTTGTGAGATAGTGAGTTTCCCATCTCTAGGTGCATTCAAGCAGAGAGGGGCAATCAAATGATGGCTGCTGTAGAGAAAGATGATGGAAGAAGGGGAGAACAGGTCTGTGTTCAAGGAGATTTTAGTACAGCCCTGTCCTTAGGAGCACCGAGGCTTTGGGGCAGGAAGATTTGATGGGATATTCTGCACTCAGATCCTTCAAGAGGTGCAGAAAGCTAGAGACAGCTGTCTTTTGAAATCCATGGGGTCAGGGAAGGCTTCCTGGAGGAGGTGGCATTTGAGCTAGGCAGACAGGACTGAGAGATTAGGCCTTTTGGTGAAGGCATCATGGGCAGAAGGGGCCAACCCACAGCTGCAGAAATGGTGCAGTGTATTGAAAGAGTGAGATTGGGCTGGGTGCAGTGGCTCACACCAGTAATCCCAGCACTTTGGGAGGCCAAGATGGGTGGACCACCTGAGGTGAGGCGTTTGAGACCAGCCTGGCCAACATGGAGAAACCTCATCTCTACTAAAAATACAAAAATTAGCTGGGCATGGTGGTGTGCCCCTATAATCCCAGCTATGTGGGAGGCTGAGGCAGGAGAATTGCTTGAATCTGGAATGTGGAGGTTGCAGTGAATGGAGATTGTGCCATTGCACTCCAGCCTAAGTGACAAGAGCAAAGCTCCATCTCAAAAAAAAAAAAAAAAAAAAGACTGAGGATTGCATGAAAGGAAGTGGGACTGAGTCATGGAGAACCTTGAATGCCAGGCTCGAGGGTCTGAGCTTCCTTCTGTGGTAGTTTGAAGAACAGTGGCCGGGTCAGATGTGGATGGATAGAGGGGCCACTGGAGGGAGGGCAGAGAGAATCAGCAGGTTTTCAGGGACACCCTTGCTTCATGCCTCAGCTTCACAGAGGAGGGTCAGGTCAGGTGTGCTCCAGGCCCAGGATGGCAAGTTAGCCTGGTGGCCACAGTCAAAAATAAGAACTGGGTCTGGTGCAGTGGCTCATGCCTGTAATCCTAGCACTTTGGGAGGCTGAAGCATGTGGATTGCCTGAGCTTAGGAGTTCGAGACCCCCTGGGCAACACAGTGAAACCCTATCTCTACTAAAATACAAAAGAAATTAGCTGGGCATTGCAATGTGTACCTGTATTCCCAGCTACTCAGGAGGCAGAGGCAAGAGTCACTTGAACCTGGGACGCAAAGGTTGCAGTGAGCCCAGATTGCCACTGCACTCCATCCTGGGTGACAGAGCAAGATCTGTCTCTACAGAAAAAAAAGGACTGGATCAGAAACCTCTAGGGCCCGTCAGGGGCTTGTCTTGCCCCTGGCCAGGCCCCTTGTCATCAACCTCTTGGGCTGCTCCTGGGACTGACCAGTGAGTCAAGGCCATCATGCCAGGTCTGTGCCCACTTCTGGGTGTGTGAAAGGGGAGGGATGGTTGGTAGAGGAGATAAGCAGAGGCACAGAGAGAAACAGGTCAACCCCACTGAATCTGGAAATCCATCGCAGTCACAATTTGCATCCCATGGGGGTTTTTCGTAGACCTTGGCCATGTGGTTCTGAAGTTAATTTGGCAGAGAAAATGCCGAGAAGCCGCCAAGAACATTGTGAAAAATGAAAGGGGATTTGGCTCTCAGTTATGAAAATGCAGCTATTCTAACTCAAACAGCAGAGCCATGGACTAAGATTCATGTGACAGTCCTCGTGGAGGACAAAAGCTGCATATGAAACAGGTGGCTTGGGAAGAACTATCTCTCCATCTGGATTGAAAGAAAAGTTTGGTCTGTATTTCAAACCATCCTGCAGAATAAAGTCCAGATAGGTGAGAGTAAAGCAGAAAGCAAGCTCTTAAAATCTAGGACTATACATCAATAAGAAAAGACAAATAACGCAGCAGAAAAATGGGTTAGAGATAGTTACAGACAGCTTCTGAAGACACCCAAATGGCCAATAAATGTAGGAAGAGACAGTGCTCAGCCTCTCCAGTGATGGGGAAATGCAAATGAGAGCAGCGAGGTACCATTTCACACCCGTCAGATTGGCAACAATTGCAAAGGCTGACAATACCACGTGTTGTTGAAGCTTCGGGGACACGGGGACTCCAGCCCTGCTGTTGGGAGTGTAAGTAGAGTCTCTTTGGAGAGTGAAATGGCAGGATATTATAAAACTCTCTGTATCTCCCACGGCCCAGGTATATACCCAAGAGAGAAACTCCAGCTTGTAGACACATCCATGTAAGAAGGTTCATTGCAGCACTGTCATAGCAAACAAAACAAACCAAAACAAAACAACAAACAAAAAAACAAGGAAGCAATCGAAATGGCCATCTCTAGCTACACAGATGAATAGTGTGTATGACTCTTTTTTGTTTTTGATAGAGTTTCACTCTCACTCTTGTTGCCCAGGCTGGAGTGCAATGGCTCAATCTCAGCTCACTACAACCTCTGACACACCCTGCCCTCCCTACCCTGGGTTCAAGTGATTCTCCTGCCTCAGCCTCCGGAGAATCTGGGATTATAGGCACCCACCACCATGCCTGGCTAATTTTTGTATTCTTAGTAGAGACGGGGTTTTGTCATGTTGGTCACGCTGGTCTTGAACTCCTGACCTCAGGTGATCCACCCATCTTGACTTGCCAAAGTGCTGGGATTACAGGTGTGAACCATCATGCCTGGCCTTAAATGTGTTTCACTGCGCTCGCCTAGGCTGATATGCAGTGGTGTGATCACAGCTCACTGCAGACTTGACCTTCTGGGCTCCACTCACCCTCCTGCCTCAGTCTCCTAAGTAGCTAGGACTACAGGCATGCACCTTGATGTCCTACTGATTTTTATTTTATTTAAAACATTTCGTAGAGACAGGGTCTCGCTATGTTATCCAGGCTGGTCTCGAACTCCTGGCCTCAAGCAATCCTCCTGCCTCAGCCTCTCAAAGTGCTGGGATTACAGGTGTTAGCCCCTGTGCCCCGCATCACAAAGAGGGCCAGGCATGGTGGCTCATGCCTGTAATCCCAGCACTTTTGGAGGCCGAGGTGCCTATAATCCCAGCTCCTCAGGAGGCTGAGGCAGGAGCATCACTTGAATCCATTGGGGCAGAAGTGGCAGTGAGCCAAAATTGCATCACTGTGCTCCAGTGATACTTCATCTCAAAAAAAAAAAAAAAAAACAATGCAAAGAGACAAACAGACCAAGGTTGTGGGCAGGTAATCCAAGGAAGATTACCTGCGGTCAGAGGTAATCTGTGAACGGTGGTCAGAGCCAGGGAGCAGGTCTCCTAGTTGGTGGAGAGTGGACACCTAGGCTTGTGTCCCAGAGCTTATGGGGGCAGAGGGGTCTGCCTGGGCCATACCACTCTCAAGCTGGGATCGTCCTGTCCCATCCCATCATGGGCCAGCCAGGCCCCATCAGACCCACTAGACAGAGGGGCAAACTGAGGCCTGGAGTGGCTGGTTTTTACAGAGGTGCAGCCCACCAGCACCCTTACCCTTCTCTCCTCTGGCTCCTGGGCCTTGCCGGGGGAGGGAGCAAATGGGAAGCAGAGATGAGAGGCAGAGAGTTGGTAGCCGGTCCCCAGCATCTGCCACCCCTCTCCACAGTAATTCTGGCTGCTTGTCCTGTCCCAGGGGCTGGTGGGCATCGGCGAGGCCAGCTACTCCACCATTGCACCCACCATCATCAGTGACCCTTCACTAAGAACACACGTACGCTCATGCTGTCCATCTTCTACTTCGCCATCCTGCTGTGCAAGGGACAGCCGAGACACCAGGGTCTGGCTGAGGATCTGGGGAAGATTCCCTGCACCCTTAGGGAACACAACAGGTGGATGGTCAGTCTTTGAGAAATGCCTGGACCCACTCCCTGGCCAGCTGGCTGGGTGGTGAGGGTGGGCAGCCTCCTTGCAGACCAGCGGGCACTCCCTGTCCGCAGCTTGTCTCTGCTCAGCCTGATGTGTCTCTTCTCTGCAGCGGCCTGGGCTACATCACTGGCTCCAGTGTGAAGCAGGCAGCTGGAGACTGGCACTGGGCCTTGCAGGTAAGTCCTATGTCCCTTCCCTCCACAAGGACACCCTCCAGTCCAGACCTTGCCCCAGGATTGCCCAGAGATGGAGCCCAGGCTAGGTCATAGGCCTCCAGGATTCTTCCCCAGCTGCCTGGACCCTGAAATCCCTGCCCTTCCAGATTCAGATCGAGGTGTCAGAATGCTCAGGTGGGCGGGGAACCAGACACAGTCCCACTGCCCTCAGGACCCCCAGGCTGAGTGTTGGAATCTCCTGCCCAGCAGTCCCGGGAGAGAATCAAGGATTCTCCCACCATGTCAGGAAATTCCAGGTCCATGGTGGTGCTTCCTGCTTCAAGCCCTGGTGCTGTGCTAGGGTAAGGCTGGGACGAGACCTCTGCATGAAGGCCCCAGGGTCTGGAGTCACTTCCTGTCTCACTGGGTTTGGGGCAAGTTACTGAGGCCCCAGGACAGTGCAATCAGAGGAAACAGAGGCCCCCAGTCTCTCGGAGTGGAAGCTTAAGACAAAGTGTTTTTTCCTAAAAGCAGGAAGGAAGCGGCCTCCATGGAATTTCTTAATGGGGGGCAAGAGGGAGGTGGCATGCAAAGGAACTCCCCAACCCAGGAGCTCTCAGTCTGGGAGCGTGAAGGGAGACTGTTCTGAGGGGCTGGTGGGATGGAAGGCTGCCAGGATGTCACTCTTTCATCCGGAGAGAAACCTGGGGCCTTGGAGGTTCTCTTCTGAAAAATGGGCTGGACACAGGGAAGACCCAAAAGGGCTGGTGAGCCTCTGTTCTTGTGAGGCCTGTATGGGCAACCCCCCTAAATGCCAGCCCACCTGGTCTGTCAGTCAGATGCTCCATGCCCAGACAGCACTTTTCCAGTGCCCTGTGGCTGAAGAACCTATGTTGGTAACCTGCCTCAGGAATTCTCTCCTCCCTCAAAGTCATCATCCCATCTGGCTATCTACTTTTCTCTCATTTGTCCATCTGTCTGTCCATTTATTCATTTATCCATTCATCCATCCGTCCATATATCCATATATTGATCCCTCCCTCCCTCCTTCTGTTCTCCATCCATCTCTTTAGCCATCTCTCCTCCTCTGTTTATCCACACACTGCTTTACTTGCCCACCCCTTCTTCTTCCTCTAGTCTGTCTGGCTTTCCTGTCCTGCCCCTGGTCTGGAAGGTCCATCTCAAGCCCCCAGCCTCTTGACTGACCTCAGCCCCAGCATTTCTCAGCAGCCCAGTTAGGAAGGCTGGGCAGATCCCCAACTCAGAGGAGAAGCGTGTGGCCTGGAGAAGGTGTAGTTTGCCTGAGTCCCCCTTCTGCAGCAGAGACAAGGCTGGCCAGGCCCTGGTGTCCTAACTTCCTGCTCCCTGAACGGTGTCCCCTGTCCTGGGCATGATCACAGGAATGCTCATCCTCATCCTGGTCCCAGCCACTAAGAGAGGCCATGCCAACCAGCTTGGGGACCAGCTCAAGGCCTGGACCTCATGGCTCCGAGATATGAAGGCCCTGATCCGAAAGTGAGTCTGGCTGGGAAGGGCCTGGTGGGCAGGGGGAGGAGTGCTGAACTGAGGGGCTCTCCCTGCAGGGCAGCCCCCCACACCCTCAGCTGGAAACCCACCAGTTCTGCTGTCTCAGTGCTGCGAGTGGCCCCGAGGATCTATTATTCCTGCAGCCTGAACCCTCACCCCTGGGGCCTGTAAGATGAAGCATTTGGGGCTTTCTGTCCCCTCAATGCACGGTGCTGCCCATGGGAGCTGGAGGAGGTCCCTCAGCTCAGTGCCACTGCCTGGCCTCTCCTCAGCCACAGGTACCTCTTCTCCTCCCTGGCCATGTCGGCTGTCTCCTTCAACACAGGGGCCCTGGGCATGTGGATCCCACTCTATCTGCACTGTGCACAAGTCGTGCAGAAGATGGCGGAGTCATGCAACAGCCTGCCCTGTGGGGGCCAAGGACAGGTGGGGCCCCTTAGGGTGGGACCTCAGACAGGAGGGCCCCTCAGCCTGAGCCCTGACCCCCCTCAACTCATGCCCCATCCTCTGTCCCCACAGCCTCATTTTTGGGGCCATCACCTGCTTTACAGGCTTCCTGGGTGTGGTCACGGGTACGGGAGCCATGCGCTGGTGCTGCCTGAGCGACCCCCTGGTGTGTGCCGTGGGCATGCTGGGCTCTGCCATCTTCATCTGCCTGATCTTCGTGGCTGCAAAGAGCAGCATCGTAGGGGCCTATGTGAGTGCGGTGGGGAAAGGGGTGCTGGGGGAGCTGGGCCTCGGCCTGGGCCATGGGGAGGGTCTAGAATGGGAAATTCTGTGACTTGTGGGACAGTCCCTTCCCTAGGGAGGCTCCTGTTCTCTGGCTGCCCCTGAGCATCCCTGGCCTGTTGGGGCCTCTGGGTGACTCAGGGCCATGAGCATAGCTTGAAGTCTCTGGACAGCCCATGAATGGATGTGGGCCTGGGAGGAGGGGTGAGGTTTTGTGGGCTCCCCACCAGCAGCCAGTGTGTAGGAGCAGCCTGTGGCCGCTGTGGAGGGAGGGTCCCCTTATGATTGCTTTGCTTTCTCCTGGGCAGATCCATATCTTCATCGGAGAGACACTGCTATTTTCCAACTGGGCCATCACCACCGACATCGTGAGCCAGGCAGGCAGAGATCACCTTATACAGCTGACCCAGGCCTCGACCTCACAGGGGCAGCTGGGAAGGGTGGGTGAAGGGGCGGGAGAGCTGGTTGGGAGTGGGCAGGAAGGCAGGCCTGCCAGGAAGGTGAAGCCAGAGGCAGGGAGGGAATCAGAGTTTGGGGTCTGCGTCTGGACAGATCCAGGAAGCAGAGGGCTGGGTGGGCAGAGTGAGATGTTGGGACCGGGTGGGGAGGGGTGTCTCAAGGCTCAGGTTAGTGTCTGGGAGGCTGGCAGTGCCAGGTTGGCACCGAGGTACTGCTGCCTGCCAGCACTCCTCCCCCCAGGTCTGAGTGTTCATGGGCTCTGCCCCTCCTTGCTCAGCCTGGCTGCCAGGCACACCTGCCCAAGTGCTTGTGGCTGGGGCTGGCGGACAGAGGCCATCTTCACTGGGTCAACAATGGGCTCCAGCCCAGCCTGCTGGGGACAAAGGGCTGTCTGAGCAGCGAGCAGGGCTTGTGTCCCTGGGTGGGGATGGGAGCACCCTGGGAGGAGCCAGGAGGGGGCTAGGAATTCATGGCCATCTGGGGGTGGCAGGGGTGTGACACTTGGTCCCATGCCCAGGGATCAGCCTGGCCAGGGTCATCAGGGGACAGGGGAGTGTGTCTGGGAGGTGTCAGGGCAGGCTCTGGGGCAGAAAGAGGAAGGACTCATGGGTGGACCTTCAGGGTGCTCGGGGGTCAGGTGCCCAGCATGGGACAGCCCAGGAGATCAGTCTGCCAGGCTCCATGGCCCCTGCTGGCTCCTGTGCTTTGGAAAGCCTGCCTTGCACACCCCGAGCCTCCTGGGCTGTCTCTCTCTGTCCCCTGGGTCCATGGGCTGGGTGGTGGTGGGGAGGTCTGATGCAGCTTTGAGCCTCAGCACAGAGCCAGGCAGTGGCAGGGATGGGCTGTGGTCCCCATCCAGGCCCAGCATGAAGGGAGGAGTGAGTCTGTGCAGATCTGGCCAGGACCCCTCCTCCACCACCCCCAGGGGAGCCCCTGACAGCTGCCAGCAGGGTCAGGGTCCCAGGAGAATTGTGTCCCAGTTTAATCAGTGTCAGTTTACTCCTGCTGGAAACGAGGCCACTCTGGCCAGATTCAGGCCTTTTTCCACCCGCCCCCACCTCTCCTGCAATGGGGTGCCCATGGGTGCTGGCTGCTGATGCCCACTAAGACTGGCACTCCGAACAGGTGAGGCAGCTGGAGCTCAGGGCACAGGGGCTCAGGGCACCCACAGAGCTAACCGTGCCTGTCCTGCCCCCACCCCAGCCCCTCCTGACTCTGGCCTGCCCAGCTTTGAAGTGCGCCTCCTGTGGCTCAGGCCTGCTTGGTCTGATGGGGGCCTGGGGCCCAGCAGTACCTGGCATTCAGTGCTGAGGTGCCCATAGGTGTGAGCAGAGGCTCCTCCAGGCAGGTGCCTGCCTCACCAGCTCCCTTTCCAGGCGTCAGGCCTTATCCTCAGGGAGGGGAACCAAGATGGGTCTTTAGCTTGATGGGAGTGAGGACAAATGGCCCAAGCTGGGGTTCAGGTTCCCCTGGAACATGTATCTCTCTGGACCTCAGTGTCCCCGTGACCATGGGCCAAGGGCAGAAGCCACGGCAGCCTGATCTCAGGAACAGTGAGAGCTGAGCAGGAAAGGTGGCGGCATGGCCATTTCTGATGGCTGGGGTCCTGCGAGGCTCAGAGGGCTCTGGGCTAATGGCCTCTAGTGACTGGCAGCTGGGCAGCCCCCAAATTACCTTCCCTTTGCTGCAAGTAGCTGGGAGGGAGGTGAAGATTCCCATTTCTGAGGGGCGTTTCAAGGGACACAGCAGGTTTGAGGCCAATGACGCTTTCGATCTGGGGCAGGTGGCACTGGTCTGGGCTGGACGTGGGGAAGCCCCTGGGGCTGACTGAAGCTGTGTGTGGGTGAAGGGGCTCAGGGAGGAAAGGGGTGCCCAGGCTGGCGGGGAGGAGGGAAGGGTCCAGGGGAGAGAGGACTGAGTCTGAGGGTGTGGGGCTTCGGAGGTGCCAGGCACTGGGCTGGGCCCGGCTCCTTGGGCTGATGACCTGCCCACCTATCCCACAGTACGTGGTCATGCCCACCTGGCATGCCACGGCTGTGGTCTTGCAGAGCTTCACCTCCCACCTGCCGGGGGATGCCAGGAGTTCCTACCTCATCAGCTTTGTGAGTCACCCTGGGAGGGGCTGGCCTGGGGAGGCTGAGGGTTTTGGGGGGCTGTGCCCTGACACCCACCCCCACATCCTCACAGATCTCAGACCTGATCTGCCAGAGCACCAAGGACTCCCTGCTCTGGGAGTTCCTGAGCCTGGGCTATGCGGTCATGCTCTGCCCCTTTGTCATCATCCTGGGGGTCATGTTCTTCCTCGCCATGGTGCTCTTCTTCCTCAGCAACTGTGCCAAGGCTGAGCAGCAGTGAGCTGCTGGGGAGCCCTGCTAGGGGGTGGTGGAGGGGAGACCTGGGTGCACCCAGGGGGTGACCTGGTTGCTGGGGTCCAATCCCTGGGCCTCCCCACGCCTGTGGGGCTCAGTGCCAGCATCAGCCTGGAGCTGTGCGGAGCCACAGGGATGTCTGGTGGGTCCAGGCTTGGACTTGGTGGTTTCCAAAGCTGGGACCCCTCCCCCTTCCTTTTCCTCTCACCTTCTGACTGCTTTCTCCTTTCCTCTTTACTCCTCTCCCCACCCCTGGGCTCTCCCACCTCCCCCTTGGGCTGATGAAGTCCCTGCCCAGCACCTCCAGTCAGCTGGCCCCCACGACACGATGTGCCAGAGCAGTGCCCGGGCCCAGCCCCTGCTGATGCGCCATCCTGACCCCCGCCTGTCTCTCCCCTAGGCTCAACCAGCGGGTGATGCTGCCTTCATCTGTGGAAGTAAGGCTAGGTGACAGGGAGCACTCTTCCTTTGGAGTCCCCTCCTGCCCCAGCACCTCCCACCAACCCTGGGCTTGGACTCTGATGTTGCCAGAATTCACTGATGGAACCACGGGTCAGGGCTCCTCCCTCCCTCCCTCCCCCCCTCCTCCCTCCCTCCCTCCCTCCCTCCCTCCTTCCTTCCTTCCTTCCTTCCTTCCTTCCTTCCTTCCTTCCTAGGGCTGGGTGGGGCCTGGCTGGAACTCCCCACTCTATCTGGACTTCTGCCCTCCGGTTCCTCGTGGATGTACCAGGGCCTGGCTCCTCAGACCTTCCAGGTGGGAGCTAGAGCTTCCCAGCAGCACGAGAACCAGGGTCACAGCCCCAAGCCCAGGGGGAGGCCTGCTGCTTCAACGGCAAGGGGAGGAGGGAGGGCAGCCTGGCAGGGGGCCCCACTGAGCCCTGTTTCTGACCTAATGCCCTTTTCCCCAGGTGCCCCTGGGACAATCTGGAAGGTGTCCTACGGCATCCGGGACCACCTGGGCTGCCCACAGGCTTTCTGTGTTATCCACGGCTAGGTGCCCACCTGCTCTGGCAGGGGCCTGCTGAGTGGCCCTGGCTGCAGGAAGAGGCAGTGTCCTCAGTCACCCTGGAAGGCTGTGTGTGTTGGAGCCATGAGGTTGGACAGATTCCTGGCCCTAGATTTGGACTGCCGGGCCCCTGGGGCCAAGGAAGTAGGCAGCCCGAAGTGGGTACTGCCAAGAGCCCGGCCTGCCACCAGCCTATGTGATCCTGGGCCAGTCCCTGCCCTCCCTGGAACAAAGGGCCAGGGGGCTCAACTTTCCCAAGCAACTTGCTAAGCAAAGCACGATCTGCAGCTTTGAAGATTCACCAGGCACTGGGCCATACGGAGAGTGAATGGCCTAGGCAGTCCCAGCTTTGAGGCCCAGGTGAGGGCCAGCATGCAGGACTGCAGCTTCTCAGCTGGCCTCTGACAGACTCAACCTGGGAGATGAAGCTGGTCACCCCCTGGCTGGGCCAGTCTCTCTGGAGGCCACTGTCTATCTCGGGTTGGCTGCTAGGCAGGAGCTCCCAGGTGGGGATTGTTTTGACAAGCTGGCATCACGAGGGGTGAAGGCCCTGGCTGCAGCGGCACAGCACCTGGGCCCCAGCCTCGTGGTCTCAGGGTTTCACACACCAGCCAACCTCTGCAGGGCTCCTGGTGGCCCCAGGAATATTTCGGCTGTCTAGCCCTTCGCTACCACCACCCCAAGCCAGGAACCCACTCCCTCTAGAGGCTGGGCTGAGCCTTGGCTAGGGCCAGGGCCCAGGAGACCATTCTAGAATCCATGGGGCAGCCGCCAGGGCTCTGCTGCTGGAGGAAGCAGCTCTCCACAAAGCTTCCTGCATGGGCTGAGGCACTGGGAGATGCCAGTCCCTATCACACAAATGACCCCCAGGGCCAGGCCTTCACACTGGCTTTATGCCTGTGCGCATACCAGGATACAGCTGCCAACATCACACCAGCCCCAAACCCCTTTGGGGGAGTTTAGCCCGTGTCATACACTCCCTGCACATTTGCTGCCATCAAGGCAGTGCTGGTGTCTGGGGCCCAAGGGGCCAGTTAGGAGACCCTGAGAGCTGGCTTGGACAGTGCTCTTTCCATCCCTTAGTTATTGGCTGACTGTGTCTTCAGTGGGTGTAAGCTAGTGGAATACCCACCCATGGAGCTGTGGGGTACCCGGGGAGGCCTGACAAGGGTGGGCTGGTACCCCACAAAGCCCGGCCTCCACCCCAGCCTCAGCCAGGGCCCCAGTGATGTTTTCTTGTCATACAAGAATCAGGTCCAACTGTTGCCTCCTCTTCCTTCCAGAAGCCAAACTGCTCCTTTATTTTTTAGAGCTGCTGATTATGAATCTCAGAGTCTTAAGAGAGAAGCCAAATATATTCCTACTCCCTGTGGCTCCCTCAGCAAAAAAGCCTGGGGCAGAGGGTGCAAAAGACGGTCACACCTGTACCCAGCCTGCAGCCAGCATGTCGCCCTGTATCCACCCAGGTGAACCCCAGAGCCCTGGACCTGGCCCACAGGGCCCTGAAGCCACAGTCCCAGCCTAGAACCAGGGGGGTCTCTGCATCCTGGGACCCCTGCAGGAACAGCTTGGGCTGTGCTTATCAGAGCAGGATGCCTGGGCAGGCAGTGACACCCTCCCTGGGGACAGAGCCTTAGAAATGGCTTGCATATTCAAATCATGGTGGAAAAATAGGAGTCTTGGGCAGATGGAGGCTGAGGGTGGCCTGCACTCAGCTTCCCCACCTTCCTCAGCTGCGTTTTCTTCTTGGTCCCACTCTGGAGCAGGCTGGGGCTCCTGATGACTAAAGGCGACCTTGCCTTTTTCTGTGCCAGTGTGGATGGCGGTGATTTGTCCAAGACCCCCTTTTTGGGAATGGCCTCGTGTGGTGCTGCTTTTGGCCTACAGGCTTCATTGGGGAGCTGGGAGCTCCATTCACCTTGGACAGCTTCCGGTTTTTCTTATGCAGTTTTGTGGACTTGGCAGGGGTGTTGGGGCTCAGGGTGGGAGCGCCAGGGACTGGGCCCTTGGTGGTAGGCATCCCGTTGGCCTGGTCTGGGACCTTGGCCTTTGTCCTCTTGCTGCATGTGCTGGCTGGCTCCCGCAGGTGGCTGCAAGTGTGCCATCCTCTGACCTGTTTCTTGCAATTCTTTGTCTCTGGCAAGAATCCCTTTTTCTTCTGCTTCCTGCTGATGGGGCTCTGGGTGGCGCTGGGGATCTCCTTGGTATCTTTCTCCAACTTGGGGTGCCTGAAGGGGAATAAGCTGGTAAAAAGGTGCCCAGTGAGGGCAGCAGCCACCTCCACCCAGGTCCCATGGGGTTCCAGAGGCCCAGGGATCCCACATCTGTGTGCGTGCAGCAGTGTGAGGGTGCAAGTGTGCATCCCCTGCCCAGTACCTACTGAACTCCCAGGGTTTTCATGGCCTGCCAGTAGAGGTCAAGTAGGCGGCTGGAGCCGGTGGAGTGCACCCCCTGCCTCAGGCCCTGCTGCTGCCCCTGCAGCATGCCCAAGAGCACTGTCAGGTCCAAGGTCAGCTTCTGCAGAGGATGGGAAGGCAGGGCGGTGGTGGCCACAGGGGCAGGCCTCTCTGGGGCTCCTGGTGGTCTTCCCACCTTGGCCCCGTTGCTGTCTCACCAGCAAACCCTGCAGTCTCCTGGGCCTCAGCCTCTTGTTCTGCCTGTTAAGGCATCCGTGTCTGTCTCACCATTGGAGGAAACACATGCCCAGGTGTCGGTTCTCCTCCCCACAGCTGCAGGCCTGGTCTGAGTCTCCACCGTGGCACTGGTGCACCTACCTCCAAGAGGGCCATCCCCACCACTCCATCACCGTGGGGCTGCCAATGCCTTTCCTCCAGCCTCCCTGTACGTCATAGGTTACTGTTGGAATCTGCTGGTTTCCAGGAGCCCTGCTCTCCTGGCTTCCTCGCTATCACCCAGTTTTGCAAGGCCCCATCCCAGGCCCCACCTCTGCCTGCTGGTGTAGCCTTGGCAAGCTCTCCCTCCATAAGGGCTGACTGGCACTTATGCTGAGGCCTCCCAAACCTTGCCCTCTAGGCCAGACTAGGGGACCGAGATGGCCACCTACAGCTGCCTCCCAACCCTGCCCTGTGGCTGCCCAACATGTCACATTCCACCCATCCACACCCTGCACGAGGCCTGAAAACATGGCCTCCCTAACGTATGTCCACCCTGAGTCTTCTCCCATCCTTCACCATCTCCAGCCCTGCCAACCCCTTCTCAGCTTTCTCACTGGACATGACAGTGCCATACCCTTGCACCCCGCCCTGCAGGACAGGGTGGCACAGTCCCTTCCCTAGTCACTTGCCCATCCACAGCTCTGTAACTGCAACCAAGGCACTGAGAACCTTCCCCACATGACCCCCACCCCCAAGGTCTGGCCTGGGTAATGGCACTGATGCCGGGAGGCCCTGAGGCCCCCAGGAGGAACCCGACACTGCCCTGGGCTGGGCCCCACCTCACCTCCTGTTTACACGTCCTGAAGACAGTACTGAGCAGCTCCAGGGAGGACAGCACCTGCTGGTGCTCTGCCTTGGTCTGTGCAGGTTCTGGGGAGGGGTGGCCAGGCTGAGGTACTCTGGAGGGCTGTCAAAGCCTTTGTTTCCAAGCAGGGACTAAAGCCCAGAGGCAGGGACCATCTCCTGGGACAATCCCAATTCCCTGTCTCCCCACCCCCCACACTCCGGGAGGCTCAGGCTCCAATCCTGGCTTGTCCTCTCTCAGAGAACCGATCCCGAGTAGGCCAGGAGGAAGGGTGCCCCCCGGCTATTACCTCCATGACCTTTGTCAGGACCTGGCTGATCAGCTGCTTCCGCTCTGGGTCGCACGACCTCACCTCCCACATGGACAGGGTCTTCTGGAGCAGCAGGCAAGCTTGTGCCTGGTGGTTGGGTAAAGGTGGGTGCCTGGAGCCTTAGCATGTTGGGTATGAGAGGCTGAGGGGGGTGAGGGGGCCTGCCAGTCATGGATGTGGGCGGCGTGCAAGGCCACCTGCTGCTCTGGACTCCGTGACCACCTGCTCTCGTGCCTTCATGTACAGGTGGGGGCACGGAGGCCTCCCAGCTGGATAGAGGTGGGACCTCAGGCAGGACAATTCCTACCCATTCCTGGCTAATGCCATCTTCATTCAGTCAGTCTGCCCCCAGCAGTCCTGGCACCTGATCAGACACTACCACGGTGTCCTCTGTGTGGCCAGATGGGCAGTGGTGGCTGTGGGAGTGAAGCCCGCCCCCTTAGTGCCTCCATGCTCGGTGTGGCAGGGACGGCTGCGCCTGTGTTCACCAGGCCAGCACTCTGGGGCCTCAGAAAATTCACATGGGTCCTGGGCTGGGAGCCGGGAAGTCTCTTACCTGCTGGTGGGGCCGCCCTGGGCTTGTGACGTGCTAGACCAGGACAGGGAGCAGGCTCTTACAGAGCACCTGGCGGGGAAGGGAGGGTTGTGAGGTGTGGGTGGGGCTGGGGCTGAGAGGGGACCCCAAGTGGGCAGGGTGGGCCCTGACACTCACTGGGTGCCGGGAAAAGAGGCTGAGGAACATGGGGACCGTGAGGGGGCTGTGGCGCTTGGTCAGGAAGGAGCTCAGTACTGATGAGTAGACACATATCGTGAAGTTCAAGTCCAGGCAGCCGGCAGCCTAGGCCAGGTGAGAGAGCTGGCTGAGGCCAGGAGAGGGCCTCTGGGATGGGAGGAGACTGGGCTAGCTTCGGATGGTGGAGGGTGAGTTCTGGGGAAGTGTGAAGTGCATGGGCTCTGCCTGGGCCAGGCCCTGCTCACCTGTGAGCCCTCAGTCATGGGGCTGGGGTTGGTGCCTCCAGCTCCTCCTGCGTCTCATGCACGCACCCCTCGGCAGTGCCGTCCTTCAAGACTCAGAGCAGGTAGAGGGAGGCATTGAAGTGGTAGAGGGCGGTGGAGTCGGGCTGGCGGCCTCGATGCGGTCACCCAAGTCGTGGCAGTAGATACGGCCACGGCACAGGTGGTAGCTGCAGGTGGTGAG